GGCTTTGCTCATGTACAGGCCATTCATTGTGAGTTTTTATTAAGCTGCTCTATTTGTCCAGTTTGGAAACAGCAAATTCCTTTGGAAATGAAAACAACTCCTTTGTTTTTGGGTCGCCTGAGCCAAGGATTTGTAGGGGGCTGGCTATAGGAGGAGGAAGAGTGGGAGTTGGGGACGGAGAGGCAAGGCATAGAGAGCGCTGGAATGTGCCTCTGTGCCTCTCTGACTTCTCCATCTCACATCTACCTTTTCCTTGGCTAGGGCTATATATAAATATTTATGTATATATATTCATACATACATACATATATATATATATTTAAGCAAAGTAATATCCCAAGCAAACCTGGAAGCTCAGGATGGATGAAATGGCTTGGAGTGGAGCCTTTTGGTGTGGCTGAGTGCGTACTGTGTGCATGCTTCTCCTGTCCTTTTCCTCCGTGGGGTGAAGGATGCCCTTGCGTCGAAGGAAACACTGCTTTCCTTTGGCTCTGGTCTGCAGCATCCACTGTCTTTAGCAGAAGAGCTGTTGTCTAGCACTAGAGCAGCAGGAAGATGTCTGTGAGAATGGCTGAGCTCTGCTCCTGTCTCTGCCTCTGTCCTCTTCTGTGATCTTGGGGGAGAAACCAGAGCACCAGCCCGAGAGGTGCCCAGTGGTCCTGGTGAGCACCGGGCATCCCGAGCATCCACTGCGAGCCATCGCCTCGCTGGCTGGAGCCAAAGCCTCTGTCTGCTGGCCAGCAGGGTCTTGTAGGATGGACCTGTACCCAGGGGAGGGTGGGAGGCATCGTGGCGTGGTGGGGACAGCACCATGAGATCTGGGTCCAAGGGTGATCTCCTTGCCGACAGCCATGTCAGAGCTCCATGCAGCTGGGGTGGGCGAATGGGTGAGAACAGCAGCCAAAAGAAACCAATTGGTGTGGTAGCTGGCGAAGAAGGGAATTAAAGCAAATAATCAGATGGTAGCAGGCAATGATTGTGTTTGTGTTTCCTCTCGTTTTGGTTCTGTTGTTTTTTTTCCTTTTGAACTCTGGCGATTGTAAGAAGCTTTAGAAGAAAATAGAATTCAGTGATTAGGAACAATTTCATAATGGATGTTGCATTTCCTTTCCATTCGCAGGCGGCATCTGTTTGTCTTTTTGTTGGCAAAATGGGAAACGGGAAGCTGCAATTCTAGTGCTAGGCAGAGCAGGAGCCCGCGCTGTGCCAGAACAGCGGGTCTAGCTAAGGCAAATGCATTCCTTTTGTCCTCTAGAAATTAATATAAATGAACTATCATCTATTGACTGGTTTATATCACATCCTATGAATGTATGTAAATAAAACTGTACATAGATACTATATCTATATAAAATATCTTTTAATAACGTATCAAATTTGTGTAAATTGGAAACAAAAAATGCCTATAAAGCCAGTGTACATAAGTTACAATTCTGTATATTTCCTTTTGTTCTTCATAAGAAATATATTTACTTTGACAATAAAATGAAAATGGAAATTTTAAATCCCTTCTTGAAATTATTATTCATTAACTTCCTCTGTAATCAGGATAATAGCGCTTGAAATCTTGATTCACCTGGATGTAACCTTTCAGGTGCTGGGTAACAGGGAGAGGATGGAACAGATCTGGAGGTGCCTTCAGTTTCCTCATCTCGGAAGGTTCCTGGGAGGCAGGAGATGCTCCGGCTCTCCCTTCACCGGAGCCCTCGCGTCTCGTCTGGCAGCCGCGCTGGGACCCAAATGCCTGCTGTGGTTTCTGACCGCTGTGGAACAGGGCTGCAGCTGCAGCGAGGCTGCGGTTAGGAAATGAGAGGGAGCAGGTTTTGAGGAAATTCAGGCTCTAGTGGTTAGTGTGAAGGAGGAAGGGCTTCGGAGTCTGCTGCAGGCTGGGACGGTGACTCACTGTGTGACCCGTGATGAAGGACTCGATTGCCGTGTGCCACAGTTCCCCTTCTTGTAAAACAGCAGTAATAATGCATCATAGGGATGCTGTGGGACTTAATGTATGTTTGTGTGATCCTTGGGTGGAAGGAGCAAGCAGTAAGACCAGTAGTCACAGGATTAGATTGTGAAAGAAAGGCTCAGCACGGCGGAGGTCTCGGTGCCAAGGCGCTTCAGTTGGCTCTTCTGTAAATCCCACATCTGAAAGAGCGATGTGAAGGATCTGTGGTACGAAGCATGCCTCAGGCCTGAGGAGAAGACGCCCTGTTCTGCAACAGCCATTGCTTCCCATTCGTAATAACAGGGGCAACACGATGCTCTTGTGATCTGCAGGCCCGGGACATGTCTTGCACTGTGCTTTTGGTTCCACTGGAAGAAGAAACCAGCAGCATTACTGGTGTTAAAATAACTTCTGAGTCTCCATGGGAGCAATGGTGCAGATGGTCCAGATCTTCTCTCAGCAAGAATCACTCTGAGACTAATGGGCACTTAGGGATTATAGTCCCTCCCCGAGGACCAGCCACCAAACCCGCCAGCTGATGAGCCAGGGCTCTCAGACCCTGATTGTTTTGCCTAGAGAATCCCTACAAGACTGGCAAGAGGACCGAGGGATGAGGCAGACTGAGTCCTGTCCACTCCAGGTTGTTGTTACCTCCTCAGATGTAGCCTGAAGACCAGAGTCCTAAGAACTGCTCTAAGAGTCCTAGTGGTGTCCATGTCTTAACTAGCACGCCTGCACCAAGAGGATCTGTGATTCCCTTCTGTTCTCACCCTATCGACATCAGGCATTAAACCAGCTGCTTTAGTTGAAGCAGCATCTTGGTCTCCTGCCCATCTCACCTGGAGTTCTGATATTGCTGTAACACTGGGCAATCCACCCTGCAAGACGCAGTTGTTGTTTGTCTACAAGAGGCAATACTTAAAGCTGCTGGAGCACAGCAGCGCAGAAATCTGACATCTAAGCTTGGTTTTAGCCTGGAATATTTTCCATGAAACACTTATTCCCTCTTTCCTTTTTCTTGTTTTAAGTATGGTTTCTGAGTGTGGATTGTGTGGGTTTTCTGGCTAATACCTGTGAGGAAATTTAAGTTTATGGAAAAGTTGCAACACTTTTGCTCATAAGAATAGGGCTGTGTTTGCTGTGAAAGAGGAGTTAGTTCTGCATGAGAATTAATGATGTTTTTCAGAGGTTTGTCACAAAAAAGAAGTAGAAATTTCCCAAAGAGATTTTCATGTTTGTTTTATGTGGAATTATCCTGCCTGGGCCTTGCTGATTCATAAGAAAATGTGGCCTTGCCTTTAGCCTTATTACTCCTCACCCACCTGAAGATAAATACATATTTAAGAGCTTTGATGCCACAACTGTAAATAAGTTTATTATGACTCTGCTTCAGCAATTCTGCATGGCAAAGCACAGCATGGCATTGGTCTATATATGCCTAAGTCCCGTTGACTTAAAACATCTGTAACTGGGTTTCTGAGGTGTGAATCGTAGCATGGACATGTGTGCAGTGTTAGAGCCTTCCCATGATAATGATCTGGTTCCTAACACTTGCGAGATGATATCTGTATGTTTCTAAAAGGTTTTGGGCTGTTTATAGTCTCTTCATCAGAGCCAGTGGTGAAGGAATGGTGCTGAGAGGTGAGGAGCCATCAGGTGGGAAGGTTGTGCTCGAGGTAAGGACTAAGCATAAGGAATAAGAGTGAAGTGCCATTTCTGTAAGGTACCCTGACTTCTGTGACCTATGGCTAAACACAGAGCAGCGGAGCCGTGTGTCCGAGACCACAGAGCAGCGCAGAGGGGAAATGGGAACAGAACCAAGAAATCCCAAATCTCCTTTGCCCTAGACAGTGGCACAGAGCACACGTCAATAACAAGCAGTGGGTTATAGAAGGCAAAGTGTAATGGGACACGTAAGTGAGACATCAGATAAGCAAAGAAAAGTAAAGACGGGGCATGAGATAAAGTTGGGTTGCACTGATAACGTTTACTCTTGGAAAGGATGCCAAGGAGAGAGGAAGGAGAGCTTGCTCGCTGGTGTGTTCCACCTGGGAGTTGCCAAGGTAAAACTCCCTGGTAAGAGTCCTGATGCCCTGACCTCTGATGTGGGGAGGGAAGTTCCTCTGGCATTTTAGGGGGCAGCTCAGGGAGCTGCACCCCTGTGGGTGCATCACCCCTGTGATGAAAGATAGCAAATCTGGAGTGCTTGGGTTTACACCCTGCAATGTTTGCAACAGTGCCCTGCTTCCCACCCTTCCCGAGGGCTTGTTTCCACTTAAATCCTTGTGCTGGGAGCCTTCTCCTCGTCTAAATGGCCACTATACATTTAATCCAAGCAACCAGCTGACTCCAGCACAAAGCCAGTGGCAATAGGCCAATGTTAATGATTACCCCGGGCCCCTTGGTTTATGTAAGCCTGGATGTGCTGTACCACGGGCTCTTGGCTGGGACTTGCCCTCCCCGTCTGGGAGAAATACCAAGGACCTGCCAACACACAGAGAAAGCTGTTTGGAGCCAGCTGGGATTTTCCTTCTCCTCTTTTGACAGCACCTATGAAACCCGTTATTCACTGGGTTCAGCGACTGCCGTGCTTTGCTTGCTTGTTATTCGGAGGCACTGCTTTTAAAGAATGAGTTGTGCTCAGCTCCCAC